CAGGTTTAAGTATTTGAGGTAAGTTATGTTGTTTTAGAAATTTATTGTAGCATTTATCTATCTCAATAGGAGTTGAAATATTGGAAGTAAAGATAGTATTTGTAATGTTTTCTACAAAGTCACTTACTGTTTTAAGCTCAGCTTGCACAGCTGTGGAGGATACCATAATCTGCCCTATATGTATACATGGGTGTCTAAATTATAGATGATTTACGACAGTCGGCATGTCGAAATTTTTTTAATATTTTCGCCACGGCATTTCAAGATGTTATGTGTCTAAATTATTTTTGGTTGTCGATATTATTATAGACTGTCGATATTAATATGACTGCCGATATTATTATAGAATGTCGATATTATTATAGACTGTCGATATTAATATGACTGCCGTTATTAATATGACTGCTGAGTTTATTATAGACTGTCACTATTATTATAGACTGTCGATATATTATATTTAAAGGGGCATTCACAATAACATTATGACGGAGGTATGATCTTCAAAAAACAATTTATTGTCCTGTTTTACTGAAAACTTGTATTTAACGTTAATTTTAAGGGATTATTTTCTATAAAAATCATTCCTTAAATGTCTTGGTTAAAACCTGTTACTGTACTTAAAATAATTGATCAAATCTAATTCGTTCTTAATAAATAAAGTTACTACTTTGGTATGTGCTGTAACTTGAATGCCAAATGATGCTCGTGGATTATAAGTAATTAAATTAAATTAAAGCTATCATACGATTTCATTAAAAATAATCAATCAAATTTAATTTGTTCTTAGCATGTTTGATAAATAAAGTTATTACCTAATATATACGTATGTACATACGTACGTTCGATTTCTCACAATTTCTTGTAAATTAAATATTAAATAAAGCCTTCTTACAAGTTTTTTTTATTTATGATAAATAATGACAATAATGTAATAGAGTATATCTAATGCGAATTAAATACATGAATACGATTATTTACTACAAACCTGATCCAATTCTTTTATCATATGTACAGTACGAATAAAGAGAAATAATTTTACATATGATCATAATAAGTTAATATCAATATAAATATAACGATAAACGCTTATAATATTCTTACACCTTTTTTATGCTTGTGATCTAAATAATGGAAGATTTAGATTCTAATGCAGTAAATTCACCATTAGAAACTGAAGAACCAGATAACATAGTTCGTACTAATAAAAAAAATAAAAGAGGATGACCTAAAAATCCGCTTTGGGATAATAATTTTACAGAAATCCATCATCATGAAAGTGGTCATAGGGGTTGGAAATGTAATTACTGCAATGATGAAAATTTGCGTGCAACAGATTTGAATATGAATACACATCTAGCCCTAATTTGCCAAAATGTTCCACTTGACATTAGACAAGATTGCTTACGAAACTTTCCAGTACCAAATAAAAGAAGGACAATTGTACATGACATCGCCAGTAGTTCACAACCACGAATTGACAGTAAATTTCAAAGCATTAGCAAAATGGATCCTGGGCAAGAACAATTATGTCATAAGGCATTAACACGACTCTTTATATGCTGTGGAATTCCTTTTTGGATTGTTGAAAGTCCTTTTTTTTGGATTTTTGTCAAAATTTATGTGTTTCATATAAGCCACCTAGTCGAAAAGCTTTGAGTAATGATTGGCTTAACTATGAAACAGCACGTATTACAATTTCAATTGAAAAAGAGCTTCAAAATGAAAATAATCTAACATTAGGTATGTAATATTTATTTTTTATTAAATAAATTATTAATACTTAACTTAAAATTAATTTAATATTAAATATTATTAGCTTTGGATAGTTGGATAAGTAATCATGGATACTCTTATTTTACCTTTATAATTGTAACACCTAGTAAAAAGCAATATGTATATTCAATTAAAGATTACTCTCATAAGTCTCATACTGCAATATTTACGGCTGATGAAATTGAAAAAGTTTTAGTAGATGTTGGTGTTACTAAATTCGGAGCTGTTGTATCTGATGGAGCTTCAGCGATGTCACTTGCAAAACAATATATTTCAGATAAATATCCTAGAATATTACCGATTCGCTGTATTGCACACAATATCCAGTTAATTTGTAGTGACATTATTTGCAAAACCTTATTTGGAAAAAAAGTATTACGCCAATGTCAATCTTTTGTAACATATTTTCATGCGTCTTATCGTGCTGGAGCAATTCTGCGTAATGAAATAATTAACTCTATGATAAACAAGGGAGGATTAAAAAGTTCAGTTTGTTTACGATGGTCATCTGCATATGACTGTGTACAATCGGTTCTTAACTTAGAAATATGTTTTAAACAGGTAATTATTTATCTTATAAGTAATCTACCATATAGTATAAACTAAAAAAAACTATCTTAGTATACTTTTTATGATTTTTAAAAGACTAGAATGTATTATACCTGAGGTACTATATATAGGTTTATTAAAAAATAATAGTGCTTAAAATATAACATACATCTACTTAATATATCTGCATATATCTTTAATAAAATCAAGATATGATGCTCATATAGTATCTTTATACTGACTATAGTATCCTTCTACATAGCATATAATACTCATATATGGATATATACAGCCTAAATTATAAAATATCTTGAGTATTTAGTTTATACTATATAGTAGTATGCGTATATATATGTTATGCCTCAGATATCAATTTGCCATAAGTATTGATTAGCCTAAATTAAAATAAGAGTTTAAGCAAATATAAGAGTATAATTAGATTAATTAATTTCGATCAATTAATACTAGCCAAAAAAATAGTATCTAGAACAAGTCGATATCTGAAATATGACATATAGTATATACAGTATTTATATTTCAAATTTTAAAATAACGAAATAATTACACTAGATTTTAGATGAGAATGAGTCTTCTATGATACCGGAATTACAGAAGCTTACACGCGATCGACAATTTTGGGTAAATGTTGAAGTTTTGGCTAAAGTTCTATCTCCAGCCAAAAATGCTATTAAAATAGTTGAATCTAAAGCTACAACAACAGCAGATATTTTTTTATTTCTCGTTCAAATGGCATCAGCTATTAACACACTTAGTGCAAATGATTTATCAGAACGTACTGAATTTCGCAAACAATGTATTCAATTTTATAATAAACGTTGGAAAGAATTTGATATAAAATTTTATATTTTAGCATATTTTCTTCATCCAAAATATCGAGGAAAAGGTATGAAAGATCCAGTATTTCATCAAATTTTATATACGGCCCTTGAAATTTGGAAAAAGATTGGCGGTGGATTAGCAAGTGCAAATACATTGGTAGCACAAATTAAGAAGTATGATGCATTTGAACCACCATATAATTATATTTTTGTGGAAGGAGTTGAATCTCCACAAACCTGGTGGAATGGCTGCAAAATTTCAAATTATTACTTGCAAAAACTCGCATTACATTTATTGGCAATTAGTCCACATAGTGCGAGTTGTGAAAGAATATTTTCGATCTTAAGTTGGATTACACAAAAAAGACGAAGCAGGTATGTATATTGGTATATATATATATAGTGTATTATGTATTTTTTAAAAAAAAGTGATTCGCCAAAAATTTGTATCTTTACAAATAATTATGTTATTTAACATATTATGATATAGAGAAACCAAATAATTTCATTAATTAGAGGGTTTTAGAATTAACTTATTTGAAAGATAAGTGAAAGTTTAAAAGATCCTACTTTTATTTTAAAATTCTGATTTAGAGAATTAAATAGACATACACAGTAATAAAATTAGGTTTTTTTTTTGATGAATATCTACCAACAAATGATCATTTATGAATCAGATATTTCGACATAAATATGTCACTTATTTTATCTGAAATTACAGCAGAAACCGTTAATGTTACACATATATTAAAACTGGTGAGGGATTATATCCATTACAATTGAATCCAACATAAATAATTTAATTTGTGATTGATCACAGGTGAGAGGGATTCACTTTGGATCGGGCACTGTCTCTGCTGTAATCTGAAATAGGATGCCAAATAATTAATTCTGAAACCCCCTATCGCTATTATAAAAGACCAATTTCAATAGACTAATTGGGATGTTGTCAATTAAAATAATATAGTGAGATCTGACAAATTGTAATTAATTACAAAAAATTATGTCATATCTATACGCACTAAGTAAGTCATTATAAATAATATATTACAATTAGACATGACATGATTTTTTATCATTTTGTATAATAATTTATCGGATTACTGTTTGTCATTTTGATTGATAACGTCTTTATTGAAATAATTATTTATTACATATAGACGTCTATGTATATATACATATATATAAATATATAATATAATTCACTTTTATTATATATTTTAATAGAATTACTGTAGAAAAAGTATCCAACATCGCAAAATTAATACTTATTATATAACTAACGCTCAAAATGAACTTAACTATATAAATCATGCGATTCCTAAATCAGAATTCGAGCAAGTTATGGAAAATTACGCAAATATGATTGAGTTTGATGATGATATGTTTAATGTGGATATTGAAGATGAAGAGCTTGATGCTGATTATATTTCTGATACTGAGAACCTAAATGATCTTTTACAATTTGATAATGAAAATCTGAATATCGAAGAAATGTTAGATTTAAATATATTTTCGAAT